TACCAAAATTTGGGAGAGGAAATTCCCTCTGGCCTGGCTGAAGTGCTTCATCTGCATCCTGGGAAATAGCCCTTGGGTTTGCTGAGCTGGATGGAGGTTGTTGGAGACATCCCTTCTCTTTTCCAGTGCCTGAATTCCCCAGGGACACACTGGCAGCCTGCCAGACTGCAAATAAAATGTGCCAAGACATCAGCAGCAGCCAAGGGGCTGCCAGGCCCTGCCCAAATCACACTGAGGGTTTTCAGACCACTGGTACCTGTTCTCCTCCTCCTCCTCCTTCTCCTCTCCCCCAGGGGAAGCTTCAAGCAGTGTCCAAGATCCCTCCATGCTCCCATCACCTCCATCCCTTACTCCTGGGCAAGCAGCAGCATCTTTGCACCTAATCACAGCTGGGCTGGTTTGAAAAAGAATAAGAAATCCAACCTGAAAATGAAGCCCAAAGCACTGAATTTGCATATAGTGTTTTAAATTAACACCTCGGGGCTGTGAAATGACATTCTGCATTGGGAAGTTCCAAGTGAGGGCTGCTCAGAGCTGTCCCCAGGGCTCTCCTCCTTCTGAAGGATCCCACAGCAAACAGGACAGACTCCAGGGTAGAATGAGAGTTGGGCAGAAAAGACATTTGCTAAGGGTCACAGGCTTAGAACTGCACCAGAAATGGCATCAATTAATGCAAGGAAATGTGTAAATCATGGAATCAGCACAGAGTCACAGTGGTTTGGGTTGGAAGGACCGTAAAGATAATTTCCTTCCATTCCCTGCCATGGGCAGGGACAACTTCCACCAGCCCAGGCTGCTCCAAGCCTCATCCAACCTGGCCTGGAACACTCCCAGGGATGGAGCAGCTTTTCTGGGCAACCTGTGCCAGTGCCTCAGCACTCTCACAGGGAGCAATTCCTTCCCAATATCCCACCTATCCCTGTCCTCTGCAGTGGGAAGCCATTCCCTGTGTCCTGTCCCTCCATCCCTTGTCCCAAGTCCCTCTCTTGGAGCTCCTTTAAGCACTGGAAGGGGCTCTAAGTTCTCCCTGGAGCTTTCTCTTCTCCACCCTCCCTTGAACACTTCCAGGGATTGAGCAGCCACAGCTTCTCTGTGCCAGTGCCTCAGCACTCTCACAGGGAAGGATTCCTTCCCAACATCCCATCTCTCCCTGCCCTCTGGCAGCTTCCAGCCATTCCCCTTAGTCCTGTCACCATTACCTGATCTAACATCCTCCATGAGATGTCGTTTTCCAGTTCCCAGTTTGCTCCAGGCACTCTGCCCTTATCTCAAAAGCAAATGCCACAGGAGGACACAGTGAAGGGCAGGATGGTCCTGTGCTCCAGCCTGACCTGGCAACAGCTTCTCTGCTCCCTTAGAGGATGGCACCAAGGACCAAGGGGAGCACAGGACCCCCCAAAACCCAGTGGGAGGACCTGAAAACAACATGCCACTCTGCAGCTACATCTTCCCTTCCCCATGTTTCATTCCTACAGAGAAAAGAAGCACATGCAGCACACCAAGGAATCCCCAGCAATCAGCACTTCCAGCCTGGTGCACACCAGAGCAGGATATGTCCCAGGGAACGCATCTCCCTCCCGGGTAGGACAGAGGTGTTGCTAACGCTGCAATTTGCTCTGATGTGTGTATCTCATCCATCAAGAAGGAACTGGAACGGGGGGATGTGAGTTATTATCTCCTCATAATGATACAGGAGCTGCTCACTGGGCTCTGTGGAGCTGCAGAGCCCTCACTGGGTGTGTGCTGCTGGGAGGGATCTGCTGAGGATCAATCCACACAGCATCTCACTGGGCAGGAAAGCAGCAGAGAGGGCCCCAAACAGGAGAGGTGAGCCTGAACCAGCCCTGGTGTGATACCTGTGCTGTTCTCCTTCAGCTGGGACAACAATTGGGCAACAGAGACCAATGGCAACCAGGCCAAAAGGCTCCAAGTGCATGCTGTGTCCTGGCTGAGCTGTCTCTGCCCTGTTGAGAGGGCTACAAATAAGGCAACTTAGAATTATTAAATCATCAAGGTTGGAGCAGATCTCTAAGAGCATCGAGTCCAACCATTAACCTGTCACTGCTGGAACCCCTAAACCAGATCCTCCAGTGCCACATCCAGACAACTATTCAACACCTCCAGGGATGGTGACTCCACCATCATCCTGGGCAATATTCCAGTGCCTGAACACCCTCACAGGGAAAACATTTCTCCTACTATCTCCTCTGACTCTGCCCTGGCTCAGCTCAAGGCCGTTCCCTCCTGTCCTCTACCTGCAGCCCTGGCAGGACAGACATCCCCCACCTCTCTCCAACCCTGTCAGGGAGTTGCAGAGAGCCATGAGGTCACCCCTGAGCCTCTTCTCCAGGCTAACCAAGCCTAACTCCCTCAGCCCTTGCCCATCTGCTCTAGCCCTTTGCTGCCCTCGTTGCCCTTGGCTGGACTCGCTCCAGAGCCTCAATGGCCTTTGGGCAGTGAGTGCCCAAAGCTGAGCACAGCACTGAGCTGGGACCTCCCCAGTGCCAACTTCTCCACAGGCCCTGCTAAACCTCTGCCCTCCATCCAGAGTTTTGCAGGAACTAAGGGAGATCAGCTTCACCCAGTGTTTCCTGCAGATCCTGGCTCCCACATCAAGGCCAGGACACCTGCAAAGCATCAGCTGGGCAATCCATCCCTGCTCCAACTCCACCAGCCTGTGGGACAAAATCCACCACTTTCCTCCCAACACATCTGCTCTGAGACCATCAAGACATACTTGTTCTGTCATTATCTCCATGCTCATCCCAAGTGCCATGGACAGTGTCCAGGCAGGGATGAGACAGGATCCAGCAGCTGCCCCTCTGCCCCTTTTCCTCCTGGCCAGTCACAGAATCATAGAAATTTCGGGGTTGAAATGGACCCTACAGATCACCTAGTCCCAACCCCCTGCCCTGGGCAGGGACACCTCCCACTAGACCAGGATGTTCGAGGCCTCAAAGGAGAGATCCCAGCTTGGGATCCTCAAAGGATGATCCCAGGCTTTTTCACCTCTTCACCTCACTAACAGGTGCATTTCACCCCCTCCACAGGTGACCAAAATCTAGTTTCAGGCTCTTCAAGCAGCCAGCTCAGTGTTTGGAGATGTCCTGTCCAGGGCTTGGAGTTCTCCTTCAGCTTGGCAGTGACTCAGGATCTCTCCACAGCTGGAGCCCCAGGAGCTGGGGAAGGTCTGGAAGGCTCAGAGGAGCTTCCACAAAGGTGCAGAGGCACCTGGCCACCAGCACTAATCCTCAAAGCCTTGAGCACCATCTCCTGGTCACTGCTGGATTCAGTGGCAACTTCACCTCCTGTTTCCACCGTGTCACCATCCCTGCACAGCCTGGGGGGGCAAACCGTGTGTGCAGCCAAGGGAGAGGCAGGTGGGAGCCCTTCAAGACATGCACAACCCTTCAGCAGGGTCATACACTTGCTGTCACACACACACAGATGCTATGAGCCCCCCAAGCTCCTCTCCTGGGAGCAGCCCTTGCTGCTGCTCACTTCTTCCTTCCAAGCTGTAACGGGAACAAACTGGCACAGCCACCTTGGCACATCCTGTGCCACCATCTCTGCCTGGTGGCAGTGAGCAGCCAGCACAGGATGCTGCTGGAAAGCTCCAATCTGCTCACCCCACACACTCCCATGGCTCTAGGCACTGGGAGACAAGGGCACTGCTCCCCACAGTGTCCCACGCTGTGCGATCCGTCGGGATCACTGCTCCCTGTGGAAATATCACAGTTGGCAGAGTTCAACCTTTTGGCATGAGGGAAAGGAAGATAAATGCTACCAGTCCCCTCAGAGCCACAGGAGTCCTGCATCTATCTAATTGCACTTCATAATGGATTCAGCAAACCATTAATTATCAGATTATATTTTAGGAAGCTGCAGATAAAAAAGCTTTATGAAACTTAGCCTTAAAGGGACCAGAGTGCTGCAATGAGGGTGTTGCATCGTGCTGGCACCAGAGGAGCAAACTTTACAGTAGGTAACTGAGTGTATTTGACCAGGCAGTGCCCCATGTGCCACGGGAATGTCCATGAGCACAATGCTCCATGTGCTGTGGGAATGTCCACTGCAGTCACAGCAGATATCCCACACACAGACACCTTCATTAATGTCAATTCAGGGGCCCTGACATGCAGGCACAGCTCCTTCCCCTTCCTCAGCACATCCCTGGTGAATCAGAGGCTGCTGGAGGTCTCAGGGCTGTTTGGGATGCCCAGACCTGCCTAGGACTCTTCTTCCTAAGTCAGCCCCAGCAAAAACATGGATCAGATCAGACCTGCCCTGCACAAGGTGCCACTTAAATGGCTCCAAAGTCACTGAGCACAACTCCCAAGATGTCTCTGCTGGAGAAAAGAGGCCCAAAGGTCAGCTCTGTGCTGGAGTTCTCTAGCTGCACAATGGTATAGGGGAGAGCAGCAGATGACACAAAGCAGCAGAGATGATACCTGTGAGCACATCACTGATTCTGCCACAAAAACCTCCATCCCAAATTCTCAGCACAGCTTGTTCCAACCCTGGCAGTGTTCAAAGCCAGGTTGGCTAAAGCCTGGAGCAACCTGCTCTGGTGGGAGCTGTCCCTGCCCAGGGCAGGGGTTGGGGCTGGATGATCCGTAAGGTCCATTCCAACCCCTAAAATTCTGAGATTCTTTGGTTTCCCATACCCATGCCCAGCTTTGTCCCCTCCCCTCCATTCCCAGAGGTGGAGGAACACACATGAACACACCCAATTCCCACCTTCTCCTCTACTGCTTTATTTCTCCTGTGTTGGGAGAGACAAGTGGTGCAGCTCACCTGAGCTGCTGACTGCAGGGACACTTCCCAGGCCCTTGTGAGTGTCCAGGAACCTCTCCTGTCCCTGGGCATGCTGTGCTTGCTGCATGCCTGGGATTGCTGTCCCAAAGAAACCCTGAATGTCCCAGCAGAAGCAGCACCTTGAGTTCCTGAACAAGTCTAGTGCACACCAGGTGCCAGGCACAGGCACCTGCCACTGCCTCTCACTTGGCTTCTTCACGGTTCAGAGTGACTTTGTCACCAAACAAGTCCTCCATAGTCACTGCCACCAGCTCACAGCCAATTTGGCTCACTTGGGATTCAAGTAACGCCACAAAGACTTGTGAGCCAGTTTGTTGGGCCTCATCCAACGAAATGATGTGCTCTGCTGCTCCTTGCTCTGCTGTCTGAATCACCTGAGTGGAAGGAAAATGACCTGAGAGTCAGACAGGTATAGCACCACCTTCCCCAAGATCCCTTTGCTGCCCACACCTCTCCCAGCCCCAGCTCAGGTAATAGCATTTAGCTTCACACCACAGGTCTGCAATTACAGCAGGCATGAGACTAATGGGAAGCACCAAACCACACACAGCAGTGATGCAAGAGAAGGCAGGAGAGTAATTTAAATATTTCTCTCCACAAAATTGCTGTAATTTAGCTCCACAAGCAGTCCTAGACAATAAACACACTGTGATTATGCACTGGAGGAATGCCAGCACAGGGAATCTTGCCCACTGGGCTCCCTCACCCAAGGAGTTATTCTCCACTGATGGCTGAGGTGATGAAGAGGATGAGTTCAACCTAACATTCAGCCTCCAACTCCATAGCTGTAAATCTCAAGGGGTGTCATAGGGGTGTTAACAGCCTCTGAGCAACCAGGCACCTCCACACAGACTGTCAGTCCTCCTCCTCAGCTCCTGACAGCCAGGACTGAGCTACAGCCCCACCACTGAGAACACCTCCCACAGCACACAATCCCAGAGCACCGTGGGACTGGGCAGTGCTGGTGGCACAGCTCAGTGTGAGCCAACAGTGTGCACAGGTGGCCAAGGAGGCCAAGGGTATCTTGGCCTGGCACAAGCACAGTGTGGCAGCAGGACTAGGGCAGGGATCATCCCCCTGCACTGGGCACTGGGGAGGTCCCAGCTCAGTGCTGTGCTCAGCTTTGGGCACTCACTGCCCAAAGGCCATTGAGGCTCTGGAGCGAGTCCAGCCAAGGGCAACGAGGGCAGCTGGGACCTCCTCAGGGAGACACTTCTTCTTCTTCTTCTTGGCCGTTTCCACCAACCCATGGACCTCCAGCTGATGCTTCTCCAACTCCTTCTTGGTCGATGTGACCTCACTGCACTCCTTACACTGGATCTGCTTTCCTCTGGCCACTCGACAGCATTTCATGTGCACCTTCAAGCAGCAGCAGAAGTGGAAGGTCTTAGCACAGGCTTTGCAAACAAAACTCTTCTTGAAATCTTTGTCTTGGGATTCCTTAGCTTCTTTGGCACTGTCACCTCCTGTCTTGTCCTCATCTTTGTCCAGAGCTTCAACTTGGGATTCACTGTTCACCTTCCACTTCCTGATCCCGAGTTTCTCCTCACTTCCCTCAGTCAAGAGACCTATGGAAAGAGCAATTACTGTTTTGATGGTGTCCAGTAGGAATGAGCACCTGCCCCTGGGTCTCCCATCTCCTGAATGGTCCTACACAGCCAGTTGTCCCTGCACAGCAGTAACACATCAGACACACTGTCCCATCACAGTAGTGCACATGGCTCTGCCCAAAAGTGGCTGTGGCCATGGATGAAAGACTGAGCCTTGAATTTCTCCTCCACTTGTACCAGGGGCTGATTTTCCCAAGAGCTTCCTCCTCAAACTGTTGATTCCAAGCATTTGCCTCCTGCTCAGCACACGAAGTTAGTTATTCTTAAATGTTTGAAGACCTGAGCCTCAGGTATGACACTGTGTAAATCTGCCACTGAGAGTGGATTTCCAGCCCTTAATTACAAGAAACCTCAGAAACACTTCACAAACACAAACTCTTTGAAAGGGAACAGATAATCTTGCTATGACCCTTTGAGTCTTCTGCTTGGGGCCCTGAGGTATTTTAAATTGCTCATTACATCCATTTCTTACAAAGCCTAATGCTTCCCCCAGTCCCTCAAACACCATCTCAAAAAGCACAAGCTGGAAAATTCACCCAGGATCTCAATCTACAGAAAAGTCCCACAGGGAATGGACGTATGGAAGAAATCAAAATACAAACAGATATATTTGTCTTCTTTGCTATAATGAGAACCAGGGAACTGTGTGACCATGGAAACCAGCACAGACTTCTCCTTTTGCCAATGTACAGGAAATTCTGCTTGCAAAACTTCATCTCAGCCTTCCCCACTGTGGGAAGAGCTCAGCACAGTGTCTCCCTGTACAGTGTTCCCCAGCACAGTGTCCCCTACACAGCACTACTGCCCTGGATTTCCAAAGAACTAGAAATCAGGTGGCATATCCCAACAGACCTGGAAAATACAGACTATTCAGAGTTGGAAGTGCCCTTGAGGATCATCAGTCCAACCCCAATACACAGGACATCTCTGAGAATCCCACCCTGTCCCTGAGAGCATTGGCCAAACACTCCTGGAGCTCTGTCAGCCTTGGGGCCGTGACCACTGCCCTGGGGAGCTGTTCAGTGCCCAAACACCTCTGGGGGAACAACCTCTGCCTGATATCCAACCTAACCCTCCCCTGACACAGCTCCAGCCATTCCCTGGCTCCTGTCCCTGTCCCAGAGAGCCTTTGGCAGAGCTGCCCCTGCACTGCCCCTCGGGGGCAAGTTGGATCCAGCCATGAGCTCTGTGCTCAGTCTGCTCTTCTCCAGCTGAACACACCAAGTGCCTCAGCCACTCCTCATGTGGCTTCCCCTCAAGGCCCTTCCCCATCCTCCTGTTCCTCCTCTGGACACTCCCCAAGAGCTTTAGCTGTCTCCTGTGCTGTGCTGCCCAAACTGCACACACCACTCGAGCTGAGGCTGCCCCAGCACAGAGCAGACAGGACAATCCCCTCCCTATCTTCAGATGCCAAGTGATCACCCATAACCTGTGAATACATCAGAGGAGAACAGCAAACTGGAAATTGGTTTCCAGTTCATCCTGCTTTGTCAAGGTCACCTTGACCTATCACCTCTAAGGTCTCTTCCCATATCCCTACAACCACTACTGTCAGGTTTTCTGACCTCAGTGAAAAGGGATCTTTAAACCTCCCAGTTAGATGATAACTGTCTTTTTTCTTAAACACAAGACCATGGCAAGGAAAAGCCTTTCTGGAGAGTTCTTGACACATTTGTGACATTTGAAAGTGAGATGTATCTTGACAAACATGATCTCCCAAGAAGTGACTGTAGAGAGCCCTGGAAAGCAGATGGCTAGAGAGGAGGTTATGGAGTTGGCTAGAAGAGCCAAACTCCATACATACACCAGCTGCCAGCAGTGACAGTACTCCAACTACAGCAGGGACCCAAGGAGAAGCCAACAGATTCCATGTTGTACCTCCACCAAAGAAACCAACTCATTACTTTGATAGTGCTGAGCATGGTTGGGGATGGATGCAGACAGGTTCCTTCACAGGGTTCCCTATGCCTTCCAAGTGCCTCAACTCACCTAAATTAACTGCTAGAAATTTTTGAGGATTTTTTTTGTTGCAACAGATATGCAAACCCTGTTGTTTTCAAGAGGAAATGCAAACTGTCCCCATCTCCCTGTAGCACACATGTTCTCACAAGTGGAAGGTCTCCTCTCTTTCAAGAGGGAGCTCACACCCCTCAGCCATGAGGCCACAGTTATCACTCGTGTCTCATGCCACGTGGCTCTTGGGCCATAAAGCCACCTTGGGGCTGGAAGCAGTGATGTCAGAGCTGAGATTGGCCTCAGAATGAAGATCTGGAAGTTCAGCATCAAGATGTGTAGGATGCCACAAAGGGGTTGGTACCTGGCAATCCTCCTCTGGACGCTCCTCTGGACACAAAACCATCCAGAACAGATGTTTTTGCCAAGTAAATACCATTTTCCAGGGCTTTTGTTTTTGATGTTGCTTCTTGCTTGATTTCGTCTCAACCTTGGCTTGAAGCCCTGCAAAGACATTCAGTGACAGCAGTCTGCTCTCATTGATATTTCTGCCAGAGAGGCATCTGCCAGAGCAATTGAGCTGCCTCCCCAGGCCCCTCTGGTATGCACTGCAAGGTGCCCAGGAGCTTGTGTGGGCTGCACAGACACAGCCACGTGAGTTGTTGTTGGCTCACCTGCTCCAGAGCCATCAGGGCATCAGCCCTGGCACATACCACGGTCACACAGGGTCGAGGGGAGTGGGACAAGTGTCTGCAGCATCCCAAGGAGACAAAATTAATGGCAGATAAGAAGGAATCACCTTTTCTCTGGAAATCAGTGCCATGAGCAGGTGAAAAAGCTCGGCTGGATTGGTGGCAGCTCTTGGGGGAGTTAGAAGAGGACCTAGATCTGATCATGAAAAATGATACTAGATATAATGTTTTCCCTGTTAGGGTGTTCAGGCACTGGAATAGGGAATGGCCCAGGGAGGTGGTGGAGTCACCATCCCTGGAGGGGTTTAAGAGGTGTCTGACGTGGCACTGGAGGATCTGGTTTAGGGTTTAGGGGTTACAGAAGTGACAGGTTAATGGTTGGACTCAGTGATCTTCGAGGTCTCCTCCAACCTTGATGATTCCATGGCTCCATGAATGCTGGATCTGCAGTGCAGGACATCTCTCAGGAGACCACTGAGGCAAGGAAGGGGAGCAGAGCATGTGCTGTCACCCTCCAAGCTCTATGGCTAGAGCAGTCAGTGAGATCCTTGGTTTCTTCTCCCTGGGCCTTGCTGCCAGTCAGTCCCACCTTCCAGCCCAGCAACACTTCCTCACTGCTCAAGACCACAGGCACACTGACAAACCCAGTGTGCACAGGGAGGGGGCAGGTCACCCTCTGCTCTCCCCAGCACAGGGCCAACACTGCCTCCCCCTGTCCCTGCCAAAGCCACGAGGGCTGTGTTCATTCATAAACACTAATGGCCCTGATCCAAACCTTCAGACAGAGTCATTAAACCTTCTATCCCTAAAAAGCCAAGACATGAATACCAACCTGCTCCACTAACTCCCCAGCAATCTGCTGGCATTCCCACACTGCCCATCAGCTAAGCAGCTCTGGCACATGAGGAGTGGGGATGGACTGAGCTGAACCAGTGCCTGTGCTTGGATAAAAACCACACTGTGCACATCCCAGTAGACTTTGCATTCCAAAGAAGCTGGATATGCTGGGAAACTTGATGCCATGAAAATGTATGTGAGCAAACAGAATAAGCAAGTCACATTTGCATCCTTTCCAGGAGAACACACAGCTGCAGTTACCTTCCTTGCCCTCTCTTATCCTTGTCATTAAAGCACCAAATTCAGTGAAGCATTTTTCCTTCAAACGCTGGATGCAAAGATGTGACTGGGCTCAGCTGGAAAGCCTCCCACAGCTCAGGGCAGGGCTCACACCTGCCTCTGTTCTGGAGTTCACCAAATCCCTCTCTGCATAAGGGCCCAGGGAGTCCTTGTTGATGAAAAGTTGGATCTGAGTCCCAGGGTGCCCTGGCAGCCAGGAGGGACATGGTGTCCTGGGGGGCATCAGGCAAGGCATGGCCAGAGGGAGAGGGAGGGGATTGTCCTGTCTGCTCTGTGCTGGGGCAGCCTCAGCTCGAGTGGTGTGTGCAGTTTGGGCAGCACAGCACAGGAGAGATCTAAAGCTCTTGGGGAGTGTCCAAAGGAGGGACAGGAGGATGGGGAAGGGCCTTGAGGGGAAGCCACATGAGGAGTGGCTGAGGCACTTGGTGTGTTCAGCTGGAGAAGAGCAGACTGAGCACAGAGCTCATGGCTGGATCCAACTTGCTCCCGAGGGGCAGTGCAGGGGCAGCTCTGCCCTCTGCTCTCTGGGACAGGGACAGGAGCCAGGGAATGGCTGGAGCTGTGTCAGGGCAGGGTTAGGTTGGATATCAGGCAGAGGTTGTTCCCCCAGAGGTGTTTGGGCACTGAACAGCTCCCCAGGGCAGTGGTCACAGCCCCAAGGCTGACAGAGCTCCAGGAGTGTTTGGCCAATGCTCTCAGCACAGGGTGCATTGCTGGGGTGTCCTGGGGCAGTGCAGGGGTTGGACTGATGATCCTCAAAGGTCCCTTCCAACTCTAATTATTCTGTAATCTTTCCCTCCTTCTCCCATCAGAATGTCTCTGATTTTGGGATTTGAACAGAAATATGAGTGGTTATGGATGCACTCTCAGTTCTGCTGCTGTGCCAAGGAGCTCCAGGACCAGAGCACACCCTGTGTGCTCTGTCCAGGACCTCTGTATTAGAGGACAGCACAGGACAACAAAGGTGCCTGCAGTGAATTCATCAGCTGCTGGTACAATCCAACCCTTCCCTCCCTTCTCATCTCCAGGATAAGAAATATTTGTGCTTCTGTTTGTTCAAGCTGCAATTTGAGGAGATTCAGCTCTGTGTAATTAAGGAATGCTCCTCCCTGGAATGGGTATTACCAGGAGATAATTAGCCATGCTGGGAGTGTGGTGTTTCGAGAGAGCACTCGTGCTGAACAAATGCCAGAGCAAAGTGCCTGTCGGGAGTGTTTGCTACAGAGGAAATTAGCAGCATTGTGAGCACAGTTTTGCTTTCTATTAAACACTCATTTACATTGCACTGCATGGTAATTTAGTTTGTAATTTTCATGTGACTTCAGAGTCCCTCTCGATCTGAATTGCTCAGGGGTGTGCCTAAACCCACCCAAATTGGGAAGGTTGTCCCAGCAGGGCAAAGATGGGCTGCTGAGTCCCTGAGCCAGCACAGGCAGGCAGCAAACAGGCAAACCCCACCAAAACAGACACAAGGACAAGCATGGCCATCCAAGGGAATCATATCACCATCCCTGGGAGTGTTTCAGAGGTGTCTGGATCTGGCACTGGAGAATCTGGTTTAGGGGTTACAGCAGTGACAGGTTAATGGTTGGGCTTGATGATCTTAGAGGTTTCCTCCAACCCTGATGGTTCTATGGTTCTATGTCTACTGGGGACACTAGGTATGGGACTCCCATCAGCACACTCTGTTCCACAAAGCAGTAACTACCATGAGCAGATCCACCTGGACTGAGGACAGAAGCACGGCCCAAAGGTATTTCCTTCCCACCTCCCTCAATCACAAGGAATTGCAGGTGAGACACTGTACTTAGGATGATAGAGATCTCTGAGAATATCAACTCCAACCATTAACCTGTCACTGCTGTAACTCCTAAACCAAATCCAGACACCTCAAACACCTCCAGGGATGGTGACTCCACCACCTCCCTGGGCAATTCCCTATTCCAGGGCCTGAACACCCTCACAGGGAAAACATTTCTCCTACCATCTCCTCTGACTCTGCCCTGGCTCAGCTCAAGGCCATTCCGCCATTCCCTCTAGTCCTCTCCAGGATATTTAATGGCAAGACATCTAAAACTTTGGGGAAGCTTTAGCTATTTACTTGCAAAGCCAATCAGTGCTAGAAGTTGAAGCCACCAATGGAAGTTTAGTCTACCCATACCTTTGCCATCAGAGACATCTGCTGTTGCCACCAAGTTGTCCAGCAGAAGGTGGAGCCCAGGGAATGAGGCTTTCACAGCCCCCAGAAGTCTGACCAAGCTTTCCACTCTCAGGGTTTTCTCTTCCTCCACCTTCCTGAGCAGCTTGTCCATGGCTTCCCTCTGAGAGCTGCCTTCACAGCAATCCAAATCCACCTGCAACAAAGAAACAGCCACAAAGCTGTCTGGGAGACCTTCCTACAGACTCTTGGATTGCAACAGATATCCCAAAACCAGGAACAGTGTCACAGTACCGCAATAAATCCATACCCACTGCTTCCACAGTGATTAACTGGGAGGTGAGGGGGGTGCCAGTTGCAGAATACTCAACCTGTCCCAGGTGTATCTGATGTGTGTCACCTTGAAAACCAACCTGGTAGGTTCTTCCACCAAGTCCAAGCTTGGAAGTGGCTGACAAGCAAGCAAAGTTAAAAGGAAACAAAAATAGACTTAAAGACAATGTTCAAACCAACATCTCCTGCAATATTTTTAGCAAATACTTTTAAACTGAGAGTCTCTTTTGCCTCAACTCCCCAATTTTTCTGCTGCCACCAAAAAACAGATGGGCAGGGAAAAAATGTTCTCATTATTTAAATAAGCATCTAAGAATTGAATTATTATTTCTATGATGAGGCCACATGAGACAATACATGAGCTGCATCTCTTCCATGAGGTGCAACCACTGTAGCTTGGAAAAGCTCTAGGATACCAATGAAATTCCAAGGCTCCTGCAAGAGAGTAGTTGACAAAGAGAGGTTGACCTCCTCTCCACCAAGGCTGTGGTCCCCAGCAGGACTGTGCAGGGCACCAGCCCAGCTCCCTGCTGACACAGCCACTGCACTGCACACTCCATCAATAAAGTGATTAAGATCTATCCTAAAACGAGTTACATTTGTGCTCCCCTTCCCCTGGTTGGAAAGCTCTTCCACAGCCTTATTCCCCTGCTGATTCTTCTCATTTCCAGCTGAAATTTATTCATAGCCAGTGTATGCCCATTTGTTCATGTGCCAACATTATCTTTTAGCTTAAAAAGCCTTCTAAACCCTCTGAGGTGTTACCCACCCTTCCTCTCCAATTTCATTATAAGACCATGATCATATTCCCTCTCAGTCTTCATTTCACTTGTCTAAATAAGGCAACTCCTCTCCTAAATAAGCTTCTCCCCTGCCCTGATGTTCCCCCTGCAGATCTGTCAGGCTGCAATGTAAATTCACCTGCTTTGAACTGCACTGGAACCGCACACAGAAGTTTTAGATGAAGTCTTAACACTTAGCTCTTGTCACTGCCCCCACACCACCACATCAAGCAGTTCTCACTGCTCTGTTCTCCAGCCACAAAATTCATAGGACCATGGAATTGTTAGGGTTGGAAAAGTCCTCTAAGATCATCAAATCCAACTGTCAACCCATCACTGCCATGTCTACCACTAACCCTCGTCTTCCAGTGCCACACTCACATGGCTTTTAAATCCCTCCAGGGAAGGTGACTCTCCCTCTGCCCTGGGCACCTGTTCCAGGGCCTGACCACTC